TTACAGGCGTGTACCACCACGCCTGGCTAATTTTTGTATTTTTAGTGGTGACAGGGTTTCACCATGTTGGCCTGGCTTGTCTTAAACTCCTGACCTTAAATGATCCTCCTGCCTCGGCCTCCCCAAATGTGGGGATTACAGGCATAAGTCACCTTGCCCAGCCAATGATTCTTTTATATTTTATAGATAAATAGTTACATTTACGAAGGATGGAAATTTGATCTGTCCTTTTATGACATTTATATTTTTTCCGTCTCATTTCTTAGCTCCACCACAGGAGCTCAGCTAAGAGGGGAGTAGAAGGGACTGAGCGGGACATCCTTCCCTCCTCCCATCTTGGACCTGGGATGCGAACGCACACTGACCACCTCTGGCTCACTCTCTCTCTTCTGCCATGAAGCCTACAATGAACCATGGTGAGGCAGGAGGGTTATGGAGGGCTCCAGGGACAAAGCCTTTGTGAACACAGTAAGGTTTTATTTTTGTTTTTCATGAGAGACACAGGAAACTGTAAAGGAATACTTGAATTTGGGCCTGACCTTGTCATATTTTTTCTCATAGAAAGATCATTCTGGCTGATACACCAAAGATGTTCCTGAGATCTGCAGGAGTAGATGCTGGGGGACTTCCCTGAACAGCTGTAATTATGTAATAGTTCAGGTAAGATTTTTTTTTTTTTCTTAGTTAGAAGCCTACAGAACCAAAGAATGAGTCATGGACAATAGCTATTAGTTATTCCTCAATTATCTGCCCCAGTGATGGCTCAGTAATGGTAGGGTTGCTGGGTTCAGAAAATAAAAATACAGGCCAGGCATCGTGGCTCACGCCTCTAACCCCAGTACTTTGGGAGGCCGAGGCAGGTGGATCACGAGGTCAGGAGTTTGAGACCAGCCTGGCCAACAGAGTGAAACTTGTCTCTACTAAAAATACAAAAAAATTAGCGGTGCATGGTAGCAGATGCCTGTAATCCCAGCTGCTTGGGAGGCGGAGGCAAGGAGAATCGCTTGAACCTGGGAGACGGCGGTTGCAATAAGCCGTGATGGCACCACTGCACTCCAGCCTGGGTGACAGAGCAAGATTCTGTCTCCAAAAAAAAAAAAAAAAGAAAAGAAAAATATAGGACATCCAGTTAATTTGAATATCAGATACATAGGTAATTTATTCAGTGTGTCGTATGCAATATTTGGGACACACTTATTCCAAAAATTTATTCAATGTTTATATGAAGTTCACATTCCACAGATTCCAAAATGCTTTGCATTTTACCTGGCAACCCTACCTGTAGGGGCCTGGACAAGCAGAGACTTTGGGTGAGGCAGGAGACACTTCCTGTGGTTAGTGGCATGTGACGATGTGACTTGGGACCATACCATCAGACTTGTACCCCAATGCCTTTTGGCTCAGGAATGAATGTGAAGTCTTTCCTGAGCTCTGTACATGGTGAGCAGGGCCACTGAAGCATGGTGTGTATGAGCACAGATAAGGCTGGTATTTCCAGCACACTCTGGCTCTCCCCTCGGCAGGACATCCAGGAGCCTGGGATAGGAATCCTCTGGGTTTGCCTCATTTCCACCCGCTGCAGCTGCCCAGCATCCACCTAGCCTAGCGTGAGTCTTCTCCTGGAGGCTTCCAGAGGTGTTTCCATGAATAAATAGGGAGGACGGCAAGGCATGACAAAGGGACCGGAGCAAAGGAAAGGACCAAATGTGGCTGGCATGCCTCCAACAAGCCTTCTGGAGTGTGAGTATCTGTCAAAGCAGAAATGAAGACTTGGGAAGAGGAGCTTCTTATGGTGTCTAACTGTCTCTTTCTCTGGGGCAGTGGGCTCCAGACACTTTTAGAACCACACGTACAAAGCCCCCCCAGGGCTTAGGCTCTCCAGGCAAAGCTGTGCTCGGGCAGGGGCATAGGACAGGCAGGCAGCAGGGGCAGGAAGGGCTAGCAGCTCTTCCCTGGCTAACAGGTGGGGTTCTGCCTCCAGCTGCCTCCCCAGAACAGAAGCCAGATGAGCTGCTCCGAAGTCACCTTGGGGAGTTAGGGAACGCATCTGCCACATACACTGTGTTGGGAGAGAACTTTCAGCTGACTGCAAGCTTCCCAGGCTGCTCCCAGTGGAAAGTCTGACTCCCGGACTGGGAGGTTCCTTCTCTGCCAACACCCTGCTCTGAGCCTACAGACAGGCAGTGAACATTGCGGTTGGCCTCTCCCTGCAGCTCCAGCTGAGCCTTTGGGGTCATATCTCAAGGGGCTATTAAGGGAAATCATCACCTCAGGAACCGTATCTCTTTTTTTTGCTATAGTCACAATTTAAGGAATTGTGTGAAACAGTCAAGTGGGGGCAGACATTAGATTTCAAGAGATCTCAACCACTCCAAAATATGGCCTGAGCCTGTGCCACCCAACCTCCTCGACCCCATAGACTTCATTCCTTCATTCATTCACTTGTTCCAACTTTCGCCAGTATTTCCCAAGTACCTACCTTGTGCCAGCCTGAAGGCGGGAAGCACACAGTGAGGAGGGGACAGAACCCCCCTGCTAGCCAGGGAAGAGCTGCTAGCCCTTCCTGCCCCTGCTGCCTGCCTGTTCTGTGCCCCTGCCTGACCATCATGGTCTCATATGGTCTTTCATTGACTGAAAAGTCCTCATGCACCACTTGACTGTAGTTAAGATGGCTGACTCTTTCCACTCTGATTTCCCCTCCATCTCATTGCTCCTCACGCCCCTCATGTTGGAGTGCTCATAGACATTTTTAGGCTCTGGCTAGGGATGAGACAGCTTTATGTAGTTTGCGGTCACTTCTATGTGTGGTTGCATT